GGGCGCGGCCGGACCGAAAGGCCAGCCGGGAGCACGCAGCTCTGGGCACCCTCGTGCCGCGCACACTCACCCGTCCTCTATGAGCATCGGCGTGCCCAGCGGCTCCAGGTCCTCCGCTGACACCAGCTGATTGATGAGACTGTGCGACTGGGGGTCCAGGCTGCGCGGCTGGGGGGGCATCAGAGCCGAGTGAGCAGAATAGCTAAAAAGGTGCGGGAGGTACTGATAGTGCGTGGACACCGGCATCCCGATATACTGATCCCTGAGTGCAGTGAATCCATTCAGCTCCACAGACCTACTGGAAAGGGAAAAGCTCGTTAATATACCCCCAAAATTCCACCCGATTCATTAAAGTGTGGTTCTCGCCGTGTTTGCAATCAAAGGCTGCATCAGGAGGCTAGCACCAACAATAGCTGACGTTAATAAAACACCGTCAATTAGTAACCTAAATGGAGTCATTTATTTCCAAAATCTCAGCACAGTGCAGAAAAAGAGCTTATGCAGAATAAGCAGGGAAAGGTAATCAAGTTCCCAGGATCTGCAGAAAAACCTATCAATACAAATTAAAAGATATATTTCAAATACAACTTTAACTCAACATCGTCTTCTTTTTCACTGGCTCATGAGCATTTCACCTCCCAGTTCAATCCAGTGGCTGGCTGTCTTAAAACACAATCAGAGACATAAGAACCTGCAGCACGCTCAGTTCACACGCAGACGCGCTCACGCTGTATTTTTCCTACGCTGACCCAAAGTATCGCTCAGGGAAAGACAGTCAAGATCCCTGTAATAAGGAATTCTTCCAGGGGTCATTCCCACCTTGAAGATGGAGTAGAAACGGGCGAAGGCTGGTTGCTCTCAGAAACTCCATTTCCAGGGGAACTATGGTCACTGTCTCCGTTGTTGCTCCATGACATGTTTGCCTCTCCCTCAAATTCTTGCCCAGACATAATTCTCTCAATCTCTTCCTCTGATATCTGTCAAATACAGGACCATTACGGTTACTTCAGAAACAAGGGAGAGCCTCAGCACACAAACACCTTGGCTGCACAGTCACATCCGACAGCTGAAACCACCCTGCACCAGGAAGAACACCTCACCGCTCCTGCCCGTATCACACCTTTACGTTTGAGAACACACATGAAATACTCTATTTACAGACCATCGTGGTGACCGCCAGCACCTGCAGTACAATTCAGGTGACGATACCACAGCAGACAGGAAGGGACACATGAGAAGATGATGTCAAATACACACAGCAACGAGCTGTAAATCAGCCACTGTCACACAGTGAAAAACCTGGGAGTAATTGAGGCCGGTTCATCGGGAACATCACTCAGTACGTGGCAAAGGTAAAGGCAAACGGAAGGTGGGGGAGGCTCCAGTTCGATGAAGCAATTGAGAGAGGCAAGGTGACATATATAAAATTAGTCAGGAAAACGTTTACAGGGAATCATTGTTCACTGTTTTCCCCAGATAAGAACCTGTTGGCACCTAAAGAAGTAATCAAGCACCTAATACTCAAACCAAGAATTAAAGAGTAAGGTATATGAAGCTAAAATGGACTAAAAAAAAAAAAAAAAAAAGGAGTTCGCTTAATTATGAAGCTTCAAGGAAGAGCTGGGCGTGCTCCTGGAGAAATGCCATGTCAGTAGTGGGGAAAATGCAGCATTAATGTTTTGGGGATTTTTTTTTTTTTTTCCCGACGGCAAAGCTGTCACAAAATATGGAAAGACGTCGAGTTAACATGGTGCAAGAAAGGGCACTGAACTCTGAACATCATTTTCAAGAGACAAACACTGCTCAGACAGTTTATGCCAGTCTTGCAAAAAAAAAAAAAAAAAACAAAAAAACAAACCAAAACCCAAAGAAAAAGGAAAGCTCGGCAGGCTCACCCAGGTATAGAACCCGAAGAGCGCAGCAGCTAAATAGTCTCACCTCAGGAAATGGAGTTGATGGCATAACCTACAGCCCAACGCTGACCGATCACACACGTCTCAGATGAGCAAGAGCCTGCCTGGCTCTGTTTTACTACAGGCTGCTGCTTTACTACAGCTACATTGCTCAGAGGGGCAGTAAAAACTGTTACCTGGCCAGAAATTAAATGTTTGTTCTTCTCCGCTAGACCGACGCAGGCTTTAAGGCTGTGATAAATACAACATTTGCAAACGGCAGAAAACGTTCTATCGTTACTAAGAGACTTTATTGTTTGAGCCAGGCTCTCTCTGATGCTGACCACAGGCATGGCCTCACTGTCTAATTGCTGCCTGTTCCTTGGCTCGCTACGGAGGACCTTACAGAGCTGGTTGCTTGGCTTCTCACGGTTTGGTTTTGGACTGGGGCAAGTAGTCTCTTCATAGGCACAGGGAGTCACAGAAAATGCTTTCAGCGTTATTTCTATTTTATTAAAATAAACAGTAAACTTTTAAAAGACCTCTTTTCTAGAATTGAGCTGGAAATGGCCATCATTTCTCACGCGTGCAGTACAAGCTGTTGTGCTGAATTACCTCGCGCTTTACAAGACGTCTCCAGACAAGCTGTGCCATCAATCAGCGAGACATTTACTGGGTGCCCCGCTTGCAACAACTGAAGGAATTGCAGCAGGCAGCCCGTGAGATTTACTGGGAGCCGTGGAGGGACGGACGTCCTTGTGCAGCTCACAAAGGACAGAGCGCCGTGATGGCCGGAGACGGCCCGTGTATTCCCGTAGGCGCCCCGGGACCGCGCCGCGTCCCCTCCGGGGACAGGCAAGCACCAAGCTTTATTTACAAATCTACTGTTCATGATGTATTTCTAACACTCATGGGGAATCAAAGCCCTGTGACAGCAGCAGAAGGCACAGCAGGGCTGAGAAAGGCTCAGTCACAGGAACCCTGGCCCCATCCCACGCCGAGCTGCTGCCACGGCCTGAGCCCACCACCCCGCGGTGTGTGCCAAGGCGAAAAGCTGAAGGGAACCGTGGAGAAACGGTCACACGTGCTCACCTGGACAGGTCCGATGCTTTTGTTTCTGCCTCCTGGCATGCCATCCTCCCTGATTGCTGAAAGAAAACAAGCAAACCTTGGTGAGGAACACTACTGTTGGTATTCCAGAAATACGTAAGAAGGTATCTACTATTTTCCAAAAAATCTTTGTATCTTAAAAGATTCATTTTGTTCATCAAAGCAGTTTACACAGAAACCGCCCCCCCCTTCCAGGGCACTGGGGAGCTCCAGCAGTACGCACCACGACCCTCACCCCAAAGGGCACAAACATGTTGACGGGGCTACAGGCAGTACTCAGGGAGTTTAGTATTTCTTCATGTGATCCCCGGGTGACAGGTAACGAAGGAATAGCAATCCCTCATCACAATTAATTCCGGGATCATTTGAGAGATGGCACACAGAAAGCAAACCATCTTCACCTCCAGAAATAACGCAACGAACACCCACGGCTGCTAGAAAACTAAATGCCAACGCTGACGTTTCTAACCGCACTGCCCGCAGCCCTGCGCCCACCGCGAGCCAGGCTCCACCGGGAGACACATCAACCGGTGCTGCCGCCCGCACCGGGATAAAGCGCTTCACGGGTAACTGCTAACGCCGCTGCCACTTCAGAGGGTCAGCTCTCCTACAGCCACCATGGAAAATGGAGGGGAGGCGTTTTCCCCAGCTGGCTGCCGGCAAAGCCGTTGTTTAAAATCTGAGTCACTAGCCTGAGCTACGCAGGTTCTTTGCAGAAGGGCAGCCTAGTTTCTCGATGAGCAGCTGCATTTTTAAAGCTCTTTAAACAGTTTCCAGGGAGCTTCAGTGAAGTCCAATTAAGGGGATTATCTTGGAGCTGCTTCTCTACCTTCCTCTTCCCTCTTTATTGGCAGAGCAGCTCTGCAGAAGCCGGCAGCATTCGAGGAGCGGCCCCGCTTCTCGTGCGCCTCCTCTCCCGGGCCGGGTCCCCCCTGTTTATCAGGTCCCAATCTCTTTCCCACCGCGACCTGGCCAGACTTGGCAAGAGGCTCTCCCCAGCTGCGCGGTGACCTTGCTGCTGCCGGCCGGCCTCACCCTGCTCGGCCCACGGGGCTGCAGGAGGCCCTCTCGAAGCAGAAAATGACACAAAACTTCAGGAGAAATTCCTGTACCAGGAAATTTTAGATACCCTCAGCTCAAATCCTCCTCGGCTGCCTCGGGGCTGCACTTGCAACCCGGGGATCACAGAGGCGGGTTCAGCTACGGCAATGGTGGCCAGGCAGAGCGACGCACACCCCGCACCCGGGCCCAAACCGCGTTTCCCTGAACCGCAGCCGCCGAGTCGAGCAACGCGAAGCGCGACGCAAAAGCGTCCCGATGATTTACAGCCCCCCTGTCCGTGACCAGCAGCACGGCGATCCCTCCGGCACCTCGCAGCAACCCGTTACGAGATCAGCAACACAGTTCTAGCCCTGCCAGCATGAACCCCACCACCTCCACGGAACTGCAAGTATTTTTATTTAAAATGCCAGCCAGCGTTCGTTTAAGCACACTGGAGAAGCCACAGACACAGGACATGAAACAATTACGGTTACCTTTTACATCACACAAATCTCTGACAGCACGCCCATTTTAACAAACAAGGCTGTTCATTTTCTGAGAAAGCTCTTTCCAAAAATCATTAGTTTCTTATTAAAAAAAAAAGTGACCAATGTAAAACTAAGCTGTCATGGTTAGCTCTCTGTTACTCCCTTTAGGTTGATTTTTTTTTTTTCTTAATGAAACTACAGTAACAGTTTTCCAACTTGGGGGGAACTTCTCTAGTTTTCCAAGATATTTTATTGCTAATTGTGATTCAGAAAGCTTCTCAGCTAATTCCATTACGAGCCATGAACATAAATTATCTTGGTCACCTGGTTTCAAAGTGTAATTGTAGCAGACATTAGGTTAAATCTTCCTTTTCTATGTGCACGTCATTTGACAGAACACCTCGGGAAATCTGCAGAGTTCACAGCTCTTCTTAGCCACGCAGACAACGCTGGTGGTCACCAGGCTGGTGGTCACCCTGCCATGGCTTTCTGCCTTGCCCAGGAGCTCCATCCTCCAGCTCCAGTCAGCCCAACAGAGCTGCCCTCCCTGCTGAGCTGGTCTGATGAGCTGCCAGGTACCCGCGGGTGAACTCCTGCCCTCTGAGCTTGCCCCCGGTGAAACCTTTAACCCCTGTGGGCTAAGGGGACTCCGGTTTGGCTGTGCAGGCCCTTGTAGCAGGGGGTGCCATTCAAACCAGAGCCCTAGGCCGGGCACCACCCGAGCCCACACACTTTATCTTTAAGACTGCCGGTATCTTTCAGGCACCGGAGGTTGAACGGCCCCGTTACTCCTGCTCCAGTCACGGTCGCTCCAGCAGTTCTCTGCCGGCCAGCGGTTCGGCGCCTTGCCGGACCCCGCAGCCTCTGACAGCAAGACCGACCAGGCACAAACCGACTTTGTTTTGGCAAATCCTCACCACCATTCCTCGCTTAAACGGAGGAAAAAAAACCTCACACTGGGAGGTGCCCGGCACCGCCTTGTACCTGCTGCCATCCCCGACCCGGCCGTCAGCACAGGCACACGCTGGGCTGCGAAGCTCAGCCCTGGCGGACCAGCCCCGTCCCTGCAGCTCCAGCCCGACCCCTCCCA